GGAAGGACTACAGGAGGGGCGTCTGTCCCTGGCGGAGTCCCAGAACCCGGCGTCCGCCCTGTTCTAAGCAAATGGCGAACGGACTGGACGCTTGGGAACACTGGACTCACGTGAGTATTATTAGTTTTATCTAGCGGCTGTCTAAGTAAAGGGGACGGCTGGTGACCGCGTAGCCCAAGTGAAGGGAATTACGGGGAGGCAAACAACTAGAGGCTCACGAATTTAGGGCGGGCTTCTTCGAGCCTACCATCTGTTATTCCAACCAGATTCCTTGTAACGGAACGAAGAGTAATATACACAGCTATCCACACTACGTATGATAAATTCCAACATATCAAATAACAGAACATAAGGAATCAAGAATCGGAAAATGAAGACGGGACCAAGTCTAACCAGAACACCAGAGCAAGAAACATGCGAATGAAAGATTCAAAAAGTTGATAAATGGTAAACAGCAAGAAGAAATTAGAAAAAAGCCCCTGGAAAAGCCTATTTATGTCTAAACCTTGGCTACACCAACCCCTCAGCTAGCAAGTACCTAGGAAGAATATATCTAGTAACAAGGAAAGATGTAGAGGAGAAAAGCGAAAACACGAATAGGAGGGATGACGGAATACGGGGCGAGCGCAAACAAGGGGATTGGTTAGCGGTTGTTAGGGTGGGTTTTAGTTTTCCTTCTGCGGTGGAAGAGCTTTAGGGGCCAGATGGAAGGGAAGCGAGATGGCTTGGGCGATTGTGAATGGGACGGGGGGGTAGTCTGGTCACCGAGATTGGCTTTGCCGGAATCAACATTTTTAGGTTCCGGTAGCATTGCGGCAACTCCATTATGTCCTTCAGAGAGTGCTAACGATAGTGGGGTTTGGTTCCTGTTATCTGGTATGGCGGTGAGGACATCATCCCGTTCTAAAATAATCTCCACTACACCTTCATGCCCGTTCGCGGCTGCCCACGAGAGTGGCGTTCGGCCATCGATGCCTACCATGTTGGTATAGAGGCTTCCCCGCTCCAAAAGCAACTTCACTACCCCTTCATGCCCGTTCCCAGCTGCCCACGAGAGTGGCGTTCGGCCATCGATGCCTACCATGTTGGTATAGAGGCTTCCCCGCTCCAAAAGCAACTTCACTACCCCTTCATGCCCGTTCCCAGCCGCCCACGAGAGTGGCGTTCGAACAATTCTAGCGCCTATATAGTTGGGGGAGATGCCAAGATTTCCTAAAAACATCTTTACTATACCCTCATGCCCGTTCCCAGCCGCCCACGGGAGTGGCGTTCGGCCATATTTGCTGTCTTCCTGGTCAGAATCGACATCGTTCCGCTCCAAAAGCATCTTTACTATCCCTTGATGCCCATTCCTAGCCGCCCACGAGAGTGGCGTTCGGCCATTATTGGTGTCTGCTTGGTTGGGATTGACGTCCTTTCGTTCCAGAAGCAACTTCACTACCGATTCATACCCGTTACCAGCCGCCCGAGAAAGTAGTGTCCGGCCATATTTGGTATCTGCCCAGTTAGGATTGACGTCCTCTCGTTCCAAAAGCATCTTTACTACGCCCTCGTGCCTGTGCCTAACAGCCAACGAGAGCGGCGTTTGGCCATATTTGGTGTCTGCATGATCGGGGTTGACGTCCTCGTGTTCCAAAATCATCTTAACCACCTCCTCTTGCCCTCTTCGGGCTGCCCAGATAAGAGCCGTGCTCCCGGTGCAGTCGCATGCATTAACATCCCAATCCATCATCTCCAATACCGGAGCAACTAGCTCCACTATCCCGAGAAATACTACTGCATGCAGTCCTGTAAACCCCTTATGTCCTCCCGGTGTCTGGCCAAAGTATCTCGGCCAGAGCGCATCTTGATAAATGCGTATTAACAGTTGTTGAGCGGATATATGGTGATCAAATCTATCGAGAAGGCTCAGTGCCAGCATTTTGACCTCTTCTGTCATCCCCCTTCTTGCGTGCTCTCCCCAATAGGATGAAGCATATTCTAGAAGGGGCATTGTCAAGGGGGCCGAGTCCAGAGTTGGTGATAAATCCCGGATGCATCCAAAATTAAGGTATGTCAGGTAAACCTCCGCGATTGTGGAGTGGGCACTATGGAATGGGGTAGGATTACTTGAGAGATATTCCTGCAGCGTGTAGTGCACTAGTCGGACCGTGGACGAAGACGCCTCGACAGTGACAAGACCGAGACAAGAAGCTAGGAGTGTCGGTATCTCAGGTATCGTTTCCGGATCCAGATCTGTACATCCTATCTCCACCCCCAAAGCGTGACAGAGCTCCTTTGCCCGTAATGGCCGTTCCGAATACAACACCCACATCAGTGCCTGCTGTCCGAGCACTGACCTATTTCCTTTCTGCTCCTTCAGCCGGGTTAGGGTTTCGGCGTAGGCATCGCTCAACTCATTGCCTTGCGTGATCTCTTGAAGTCTCTTTCTTCTCTGACGAATTGTCGTCTCGCCAAAAATGGCCCCGATTTTTAGGGAAGCGAGGAGGAGGCATCTAGACAGAGTCCTTGGTCAGTATACATCGTTGGCAGAGGGGAAACGCCAACACACTTATCTAGCATCTTATCCAGAATAATCCTTACAATATCCGCCCTTAACCCGTTGTTCATCGCCTCTGGCTTGTCATCCCTGTCTATCCTCATCTCCAGATAGTTCCTGATGTCATCCTGGTTAGGGTTGATGGGTATCGCAATAGCTTTGGTGAAATATCTTTGAATGACCTCTGTGACATGGGGTCTCCCGGTAAGGTATATCTTTGTCCTAGGGGACTCTCGAACAATCTCGCTTAGCGACTCAAGTAGCTCGGGAAGAACTTTCGGTAGGCATTCGTCCAGCCCATCAATACAGATAAAAACTTGGGGCAAAGAAGCAATCGCTATTCTTAACATTCGCGTCAGATCCGTGAGTAATGGCCTTCTTCCACCAGCCTCCTTTTTTCCCTCCCGAAATGCCTCCCGTATATCATCCAGTACCTCTCTGCCGCCCACTAGCTGTTTTAGAATCGCCCCCACTATGTTGATGACAGTCTGCTCTTGCTGCGCAAGGTAGTCGCAGTAGAATCCTGCAACAGCTATATCTTCCTCCTTTGCCTGATCACACAACCTATCGATCACTAGGGAACTAATATTTCCGGCCGTTAGCAAAATTATTTTCTTGAAATGAATCCCGCATGTTACCTCAGATAGGTCTTGCCCACTCCCGGATTCCCGGGGCAAAACAAGACGGCTTTATCAGCTCTACCCCTATTCTCCTCCCTCCACTCCCTCCACTCGCATGTTTCTAAAAGCCAATTCCCAACACCATTAAACCGGTCGTTGCGCACGCTTTGATGTCTTGTGTTCGGCTCTAGTGGAGAAAGCCAACGCATAATCTGTGCGTCCACCTCGGAGTTACAAACAGTTTCATTGAGGCTCCCTACTGTGTTGCTGTAGTGGGAGTCGTTGTAGCCGAATTTTATCGACCGCGTACGCGTAGTGTGGGCCATGATGCTCTGCTAAAAGTGCTGGTTGTTTGTAGAAATGGTAGAGAAATACAGAGGGTTAATGGGAAGTTTACAAAACCTTTCCGTGGACCAAGCTGAAGAAAAAGCGGGGTTATCTCGTTTATTTTGTGGCACTGCCGCCCAATCATTTTCATGCGAAGGCAATACACTTACCTTTGACCCCAGTACCACCCAAATCCGTGAGGCGGAGTCAGGTCGCAGCGAATGTGTGTCTGGTTGGCCCATGACCTTCTCAACCACTCAGAGGACGACGTGCTCCAGCCACAGCGCCAAGATTTCGGACTTTTTTCCAGGGCCCCCAGTCGTCCCGCCCGAAGGTTGCTATCAATTATTCCACTAGGCTCTGAGGGTTCTCGATTCACCCTCTAGCTAAACGTTCACATCTCCCAACCAATACCACCAACCCACGCCTAAAAATGAACCTCATTTCCTAATACCGTATATTCTGATGAAATTCGCTAACCCCGTCCCAGGATGTGTTATTTCCGGCCCAGTAAGAGAGCGGAATTAGGGTTCAGAGGGCATTTCTCATTGGCAACTTCAGACCAACTTGATGTAGCCAATTACATTCATTGTTCAGGCCCAAATGTGGAAAAATACGATATCTTACTGGGCCGGAAATAACACATCCTGGGACGGGGTTAGCGAATTTCATCAGAATATACGGTACCGGTAGCCTTCACTCTCTTCGCCTTTACCCCATCGAAAATGCTAACTAAACCACACTTCGTATCTTAAGCTGCACCATCCCCCTGCCACCGCCTGCAACTACCCGAGAGCGAACCCCTCGAATGCATCTTCCACTACCCTGGAGTCCCACCTTTGGCCGGCTCCTGTCCCCTGAGCCGGAGGTGATAATCTATACCAAAGGGAAGTAGGGAAAGAAAGATGGATCCGATATTTATGCATACGGGACGTGGGTGGTTCAGAGGTTGATCGGGGGAGCGATGGGTGGTGTTCGCTTGCCCCCTGCCTTTCTCCCGAGATTCCTTGATATAAGCTAGTCTAAGCAGAGGAAAGTAACCAATATTTTTGCCCCCCTTCCTTTCCAAAAGGTTTAGATAGTAGTATGTGTAAGCTGCCTAGTTTTGTAATTAGATCAATTATTTTACCAATACCGAGTGATAGATGGTGGATTTGAGAGCGAGGGCACGTCTGTGAGGATGGCAAGGCAAAGAAATGGGAAATGCTAGACTAGGGTTAGAGATGTAAATAAGTATAGGTGGCATGTCCGAATAGTGGTCGCAGCGTTTTGAAAGTTATTATTTGATTACCTACTTGGTGAGAAGGTGCTCATGGAGAGCCTTAGCGCCGAGTATTATCACTCGCAGGGTAGGCCGCCCAGAATTCAAATCTAACAATTGAGCGCTACACATTTTTAATAACACTCTTATCACCTACATTTGCTACAGATCGGATTTAGGACAGGCTAAAGATCTGGGAGACTAGACCTCCTATATATTATAGTAAAGAAGGAAAAAAGAAAAGAAATCGATTTGGACGTACTGGGAATGGAACCCAGGACCATCTCAAGTTATGATTAGATCATTGCAAATGAGATATTATACCCCTAAACCATGCGCCCAGATCATTGGCTTTCCAAATTGCCAATCATGATGTATGGAAAGACCAATGGCATCGCTTTTAAATCGGATTTTTTATGACAAGACCTTGAGAATGATGCAGACTCCATTATTGTGCTCGTGTTAGTGATAATGGTACAGCCTACAGGAAATAATAATAAACGGAAAGTGTGCAAACGCATTATCAGAACCACCATTGCTCAATTGGTTCGACCTCACTTAACGCAAGGACAAAAACCCCAGAAGTTCTTTCAGCATTTCCCGATTTTTTTTTTTCTACCCCAGGCGGTATTTTGGCCGGCTACCTTTGGATGATTTTCTGTCGGTGGTTTTGGTTACGCACCCTAAAAGCCTTCTCGATTCGCTACCTCCGTCAGCCCAGGGTAGATTTTCTTTGACAAGTTAACAGAATTGTGCATGCCAGTGAACAAGATCCGACACGTCCTGAAAGCTGACCTTATCTCTCGCAGGAAAGCATTATCCCTTTTCAAGACCTTTTGTTTCTGAATTTGAATATACAGCCCAAGCTCTTAAAATTTCCCCTTTTGCGGTAGATATATAAAATAGTCTCTGTCGGGAATGGGTGAGGTTGACCACCATGTATCCTTCATACACCATAGAAAATCGTGGTTTTGGTCTGAGGTGTCAGTATTCATGAGATATTCGGCCAAGCTAGCAATAAGGATTAACGCGAAAGAAAAATATGAAAAAAGGAATTTATGACTTCCTTCATGACATCTCCCAGTAGGTGTAATGGGCCTTGCTAGGTTTTAGCCTAGGATGAGAAATGGGCCCAGCTCAAAAATATCTTAATATTTGGATGTTTTCTCTGCTCTAGTTTCCCGCGTATAACTTACCCGCTAGGGAGAACATCAGTTGGCGCTTGGACTGGTTGAAGGATGGAAGGCATCAGAATTACACTGCAAGAGAGGGAAGAAAAAAGGTATAATATTATACAAGAGAATCTATGTGCAGAGAAAAACGGAGAGTTTTGAAGTGGTATTATATCAAGCCATGACCCAGAGCATCTCGATTCAAAACCACCATCCCCCTCTACTAAACACATGAGGATAGAAGTCCAAAGAAGGTTAAACGAATATATAATGTGCAAAAAAATGCTTTCCTACAACAAGCGAATACCCAGAACTGTTCCTAGAAGAAAGATTTAGGAAAAACTGGAAAGGAACAAAAAAGCGGACAAGAGCATCCGCGAAAAGGCAACACATGTACCTGGTGGTTATGAAGGGTTTTGGAACAGGGCTGGAGTTGTGCCGATGACTAGAATGTATAAGGGAGTTGTTGTGAAGGTGGCGCATAAGTTAGAGCTGTGCGCGTGGAAGAAAGGTAGGCTAATCTCTCGTTGGGCTTAATCCACACTAGGGATTGCAGATTTGCAGTTTCCCGGGGCTGGAGAAGTGCTACAATTTCCCTATATCCGCCTGTAGGAGCCCGCAAAAGCGCCGTGTGACCACCCTTGTCTAGTTTGTTGAGGGATTGACATCGGCTCTCGCGAGCAGGAGCCTCATCACCCCCTCATTCCCATGAGAAGAAGCTACCATGAGCGGTGTCTGACCATCGTTGTTGGGTTTGTTGGGATCAACATCGTCCCTTGAGAGTAGTAGTCTCACCGCCCCCTCATGCCCACCTAGAGAAGCCTGTGACAGCGGTGTGTGACCACCCCTATCTTGCTTGTTAGGATTGACATCGGCTCTCGCGAGCAGTAGTCTCACTGCCTCCTCATCCCCGAAAATCATAGTCTGCCAGAGCGGTGTGCGACCATTGTTGTCTGGCTTGTTAGGATCGACATCGTCAGTTCCGAGCAGCAGCCTCATCACTCCATCATGTGCCAAGAAAGAGGCCCAGTGAAGGGCTGTTTGGCCCTTGTTGTCTGACTTGTTTGGATCGACATCTTCCCGTTCGAGAAGTAGTGTCACCACCCTCTCATGCCCACAGGAAGAGGCGCTGATGAATGGTGTCTTGCCGTATTTGTCTACTTTGTCGGGATTAACATTTTTCTGTGCTAGCAGGAGTCTCACGACCCCCTCATGCCCACGATGACAAGCCTCAATGAGCGCTGTTCGACCATCGTTGTCGGTCTCGTCTGGATTGACATCGTCTTGTTCCAGCAGGAGCCTCACAACTGCATCATGTGCCTTCTCTGCTGCCCATCTGAGTGGGGCTTTACCACTGGAGTCTCTTCCGTTGACTTCACAACCTTCCATCCCTATCAGATAAGTCACAAGCTCAACGATGCCTAAGCGACATGCATAGTGTAGCGCGGTAAAGGGGAAGTGAGCACTGAATTGGGCCCGCCAAGGTTCATCATACACCGAAGGTGATTTGGGTGATATAGCGTTTTCGAAGTTGTTAAACAGCTTGAGTGCGAGGTTCTTTGAGAGATCTGAGGGCTGCATTTTAGCATGTGTTCCCCAATATGCAGAGCAATATTCGAGAAAGGACGTGTATCCGAGGTTAGGAGTGGGGGATACAGAAAGGTTGACCTGCGAAAAGTTCAGACAGGTCAAGCAAGTTTCTGCAAGTGTTTCGTGGGCTCTCGGGAAGATATTATTATCGGAGAGGTATTCTTGGAGTGAGTAGTGTATCAGGCGGAATGTCGACTTCTCTTTGTCGATGATCACAAGTCCAAGGCACGAATCTAGAATTGTATCGATTGAAGGTGCATTGTCCAGGTCCAGATCGGTTGACTCGATTTCTACAGCCAGAGCGTGGCAGAGTTCGTCTACCTTCAATGGCCGCTGTGAGTGGGACACCCACATCAGTGCTTGCATCCCAAGTCCTGATAGTCCATCATTCTGTTCCCTTATTCGCTGCAATGTTTTACCATACACATCACCAAGGGCCACACCACCTGCGGCCACCGCTGTCAGCATCTTCCGCCTCCTGGATTTCGTGGCTGCTCCTAGGACAGCGGCCATATTTAAGGCTACCAGCAGAAACCTCAACAGAGCGTCAATGAACGATCCAAGCACGTAATAGAGTTTTTTCTACTTACATCCCTGAGTTCTCTTCCAACATCGTTTTCATGATATCTGCTCTTAGATCCTCACTCATCAGCCTAGGGTGTGGGTCATCTTCAATTTTGAGCTGGACATATCTCGTGACATCCCCTAGGTCCGCTACAACCTGGACTATGTATGCTCGGCCTGCAAGATGCCTGTCGAGTTCCACCCGAACGTAGGGGCGGCTAGTGAGAAACAGTCGGGAGTTTGGTGCTCTGTCAACAATATAGCGCAACGCACGAATAAAGTTGGGCCGATCCTTCTCCAGTAACTCATCAATTGCATCAATGCAAATAAATACTCGTTCAAATGAACCGATTGCTTCGACAAACAATTGCACCAATTCTGTCAGCCGGAGACCTTGACCACCTAGCTTTCTCGACTCCTCAAAAAGGTATTTGATTTCGCCTGGAATCTCGGTGGCTCTCGCCACAACCTGCTTGAGAAGACCACCGATCATGTTGACCGGTGATTGGTCCTTCTGGGCCTGATAGTCGCAGTAGAGGGGGAAAACGGCGGCATTCTGCCCCCGGGTCTGATTGCGTAGAGTGTCTATTACTAGCGAACTATTTTCCATTCCTTGTTAGCTGCAACCGTAGTGTCTTGAGAAAACACCCGTACCTTATATAGGTCTTTCCAACCCCTTGGCTCCCATAACACAACAATATGGGATTTTCTGAACCCTCCCGACCCCCATGCCAACTCTCGAACTCACTTGTTTTTAGAACCCAATCTCCGATCCCATCAAGCCTGAGGTTTCTCACATCCTGGTGCCTCTTATGTGGTTCCAGTGGAGACAGCCATGCTTGGATGGGTGAAGTCCCTTCGCCCGGTCCGAGGTGGAAGGTGCTATTGTAACTGTGTGAAACATTGCCAACGTTCGTATTTAGGCTGCCACCCACGTTATTTGTCAAGGTGTTACCGGTATGGGTATTCCGTACGGCATAGCTGTGGTGGATCAGATCGAAAGTTTGTTCTTGGTAATCCCTAGGTAGAGTACTCATAATGGATGAATGAAGGGTAGAGGAGGCGATGGCGAGATAGCTGAAGGCTAATAAAAGGATTGATGGAATACTCGAGTACAATAGCCTTGCCGATCCTGCGCGCTCGTCCCACCAGCAAGCGCATGCCAAGCACCTCCAGGGGGAAGAAATGATCCATCTTTAAAAAGCACTGCGCGCATGGTAGGCTGCAGCCAGCCACCAGTATCCCATGGACTGATGAGACATACAGATTCCGGACCTTCCGCTTATGGTAGCTCGATGCTGTGGCTCAGTGACTTTGCCTAACAAAAATTATGGAGTGCCAAGAATTTTCTCAGCAAAAAAGTTGCTTAGCCACAGCATAGAGCTACCATAAGCGGAAGGTCCGGAATCTGCATGTCTCATCAGTCCATGAGATATGTGATACCCCCCTGTCGGTGAAAAGTGCTGCGAAATTAGTCCAACCCCCCCCCCGCGCGATCGCATCAATTAATCATATTAGCAAAGTGACTAGTGCCTCTAAGAGCACCGTGTGTGCACTAGCGAAGTCACTTATTGAAAGAATATACCCCGATTTAAGCTACTTAGAATACCGGGTTGGAATGGAAATTAGGGCCCGTTTACCTATAAACGGCCCTCTATAATAGCAACCAGAGACAGTGCCGACCGCCAAAGAAAGTCAATTAGATAAACGGACTTCAAGCTATATTAGAATGTATATTAGGTAAACATGCAACAATTCTGTTTTATTTACGCACCTTCAACTGTCTATTTCTAAAAATTCAATTTGTAATAGGTGGTCGAGTAGACTGTGGCATCTCAACCGTTATCTGATAAACGGCCTGAAAGTGTTTGACCAATTTTTCATGGTCATAGATTCTAGTAGCTAAACCGTTAAAAGGTTACGCTGCCTACTCTAGGTAAATGCCATCTACTTTTCCCCACTCTCCCCCACTGTCAAGGCCCACTTAACGGTCGGCATCGTTTCAGGCTGTTAGA